AGAAGTTCTGCAGTCGGCGTGGGAGGTGGAGACCAGGGAGCTAGAGAGTAGGAGGTCTTGCGAGGAGTGAAGATTACGGGTAGGGTGGTATTTGGGTATCAGGTCGATGAGGTAGTTTGGGGGGCAGCGTTATGAATGGCTTTGTATGTCAGTGTTAGTAGTTTGAATTTGATGCGTTGGGCAATCGGGGGCCAGTGGAGGGAATGACAGAGGGGGGGTGGCAGAAGTGGATCGGTTGGTCAGGTGGATGAGTCTGGCCGCTGAGTTCAGGATAGACTGGAGCGGGGTTAGCTTGTTTTGAGGTAGGCCGGTGAGGAGGGAGTTGCAGTGGTCCAGGTGTGAGATAATAAGGGAGTGAACGAGTTGTTTAGTAGTGTCTGGGGTTAGGAACGAGAGTATTTTGGAGATGATGTGGAGGTGGAATCTGCATGCAGTAGTCAGCGATTGGGCATGGGGTTGGAAGGACAGGTTAGAGTCTAGGATGACACCTAGGACCTTGGCTTGCATGGTTGGACTGATGGTAGCATTGTTGGTTGTGATGGAGAGGGTGGGGGGGGGGGGGGGGGGGGGTGCGGGCAGGGGGGAAAATTAGGAGCTCGGTTTTGGAAAGGTTTAGTTTGAGGAAAGGGAGCGACATCCAGTCCGATATGTCGTTCAGTAGATGGGTGATAAGGGCGGAAAATGAAGGGGTGAGGTGAGGGGTGGAGAGGTAAATTTGCGTGTCATCGGCATAGAGAATCTGCACAGCCTCTTAGTAATAAAGCCCACAAAAGGGCTGCCGGGGGGGCTGTGTTAATATTTTTCTACCACAGCTTTTATGTATTGATATTCAATTCCCTGCAGTTGTTTAGCCCCAGAGGTGCCAATGAATCCACAATCAAATTACCAAACCACAAAGCAAGCATGACAGCCAGATAATTGCAAAAAGAAGGTCAGTGATGGTATACTCCCTAATGACAGATTTCCTAAGATTCTAAAACAGGCATGATAATTTGGTGTTTTGGCCCACATGCAGCCCTATGGCTCCTTTCTAGTAGATATTCAATGGTTTATGAATTTAAAAATAGACCAAAATCTATTCCACATCCTAATAGAGCAACATTTAGGGGAAGATGTACTAAAATTGGAAAGTTCAAAATCTAGTGCAGCTCTGCAAAGAAACCATCAGCTTCCAGGTTTTATTGTCAGAGCTTAATTGAACAAGCTGAAGTTAGAAGGTAATTGACTACCATGAACAGCTGCACCAGACTGAGTGCTCCAGTTTTACACCCCGGTCACATCAAGCCCGACTTTGAAATCATGCGATTCACAGTTGCGTGATTTCAAAGTCGGGGGACATGCCAATTTCAGGTGCTATTTGCAAGACATCTGACACAGATGTCTATGCAAATTGCACCAAAAGTAGTGCATGTACTACTTTAGAAATCGGTGCGGCTCTAACCAAGTGAGAACCGCACCGATCTGACAGCTGTAATTGAAGACAATAGGGTGCAACTTGGAATGCGATTTGCAAGTTGCATGACATGCAAATTGCATGCCAAGTCGCACCCAGTGTGACCATATTGATTTTCTTTATTATGCTCAGGCCTCAAAATATAGCCTGCTACTTATAAAAAACTGTATGTGAACATTTAAGACGTACAATTTTCACCTGGCAGGACAAACTCTAGGCTACTTCCTATGTTTGTTTACAGAGGTCAGTAGCTAAAGCTCGATATAGCTCCCTACTGATACAATCTGAAAAGAAAAAAAAAAAAAAAAAAAAAAAAAAAAAAACACAAACACACACAACACATCTGCAATATGCAATATTTTTGCATGCAAATTTAGAAAAAATCATTTTTTTTCCCTAAAAGAATGGTTTTACAGGTGGAGGCCACTGACATTTTCCCTACTCATCTTTTCTGACTGTTTTCCCTAGTTTTACATTTGGCTAGGGTCAATGTCACTGCTGGTAGCATGAGGCGATACCTGGACCCTGCAGAGGTTGCACAGGCAGTCCAACTCCTCCAGGATGGCACATCAATACGTGCCATTTACAAGTTTGCGGTGTGTCTCCCAGCACAGTCTCAAGAGCATGGAGGAGATTCCAGGAGACAGGCAGTTACTCTAGGAGAACTGGACAGGGCCACAGAAGGTCCTTAACCCATCATCAGAACCAGTATTTGCTCCTTTGTGCAAGGAGGAACAGGATGAGCACTGCCAGAGCCCTAAAAAAAAAATTACCTCCAGCAGGTCACTGGTGTGAATGTCTCTGACCAAACAATCAGAAACAGACTTGATGAGGGTGGCCTGAGGGCCCGACATCCTCTATTGGGCCCTGTGCTCACTGCCCGGCACCGTAGAGCTCGATCGGCATTTGCCATTGAACACCAGAATTGGCAGGGCTGCCACTGGAGCCAGGTGCTTTTCACAGATGAGAGCAGGTTCACCCTCAGCACGTGACAGATGTGAAAGGGTCTGGAGAAGCTGTGGAAAACATTATGCTGCCTGTAACATTGTTCAGCATGACCGTTTTGGTGATGGGTCAGTGATGGTTTGAGGAGGCATATCCATGGAGGGAAGCACAGACCTCTACAGGCTAGACAATGGCACCCTGACTGCCATTAGGTATCGAGATGAAATCCTTGGACCCATTGTCAGATCCTATATGATGGCGTAGTGGGCCCTGGGTTCCTCCTGATGCATGACAATGCCCAGCCTCACGTGGCGAGAGTATGCAGGCCGTTCCTGGAGGATGAAGGAGTTGATACCATTGAATGTCCCCCACGCTCGCCTGACCTAAATCCAATAGAACACCTCTGGGATATCATTTTTGGTCCATCCAATGCTGCCAGGTTGCACCTCAGACTGTCCAGGAGCTCAGTGATGCATTGGTCCAGATCTGGGAGGAAATACCCCAGGACACCATCCATCATCTCATTAGGAGCATGCCCTGACAACAAGCACATGGGGGTCATACAAACTACTGAGTACCATTTTGAGTTGCTGCAATGAAATTTCAGCAAAATGGGCTAGCCTGCTGCATCATTTTTTCACTTTGACTTTTGTGGTATCTTTGAATTCAGTCCTCTGTAGGCTGATAATTTTCATTTCCATAAAACGATGGGACATCTTTACGTCCCTAACACATTACCCAGTCCATATCAGTATAGATATCCAGCATGAGATTTTTCCCCAATGAGATCTGATGTGTTTTCAAAGTGCTACTTTCATTTTTTTTTTGAGCAGTGTATTTCAAAACATACAATTTTATAGTTTCAGAAATAAGCCCATACGCGTACAAGTGCCAGTGTTTACAAATGTAGCTGCGCATACCTTTTTTTAATCTAATTAATTATAGGTAAAACTATGCTGCAGCTTTAGCTCCCAGGCACCACAAATACTGACACCCTAAATATGAGTGCAACAGCCCTAATGTAGACCCTTTATTGCTGCGTCTTACTGTAACCCACTCGCCTCCTGCAATAAATGACAGCAATATGGATTTCATTTTTTCCCCCCAACTCTTATAAACACGCTCAGAAACTAGGAAACAAAATAATTTAATCTGATTCAAAATAAAAAATGTTGCCATGGTGTTGTTGAATAATCAGCATTGACTGCTATTAATACAATATAGGTGTGTTTTGACGGCTAAATTCAAACCCTAATAAGGGGTAAGGGATCAATTATTTTCTGAAACGACTACTTCTAATGGGAATTTGTGTTTATGTGGAAGCATACACTAAGGGACCTGTGATTATATGAGGCACCGAATAACACATGGCAAAGAAATCAGAGCAATTTACACAGAAATACAATGCATGGGAATACAAAGAATACAGGTAATATAAAGAAAACAGATTTTATAAAGAAAAATAAAGATAACAGAGAATATAGATAATACAGAGAATATAGATATTATAAAGAATATAGATAGACAATATAATGCCAAAATTATACAGAATATAAATAACAGATAATATAGAGAAGACAGATAACAGAGAATATAGATAATATAGAGAATATAGATATTATAAAGAATATAAATACCAAAGATAACAGATGACAACAGAATGTAAAAATTATACAGAATATAAATACCGTAATAGAAAAGACAGATAACAGAATATAGATAATATAGAGAATATAGATATTATACAGAATACAAACAGATGTTATAGAGAAGACAGATAATATAGAGAAAGTTATTTATATTCTTTATAATATGTATATTCTCTATATTATCTGTTATTTATATTCTGTATAATGTTGGCATTCTATTGTCGGTTATCTTTTTTATTTATATTCTTTAAATATCTATAAAAATAACACAATAGAATGCCAACATTATACAGAATATAAATAACAGATAATATAGAGAATACAGATAAAATAAATAATTAACAAAATTTCTCCCTAAACTTCCTCTATGCCATCAAATCACACTTACAAAATGTAATTAACAGCGATGCTAATTTATTATTGTCTCTTTAAGGAAATTCAGTTTTCTAAGAAAAGTAATATTCCTATGTCTGTTTGCTCCAGCTCCCCTCCCCAAGCATGGCATGTTTTCCACATATCCAAGCATTAGCAAAGCGGATTTCGTCAGACACGGTGTATGAGGCCTGGTTCACACCAATGCATTTTTTAAGTGCTTTTTGCAGAAACACACTATAGTCCATTTAACATAGTTTCCTATGGGGCATGTTCACGTCTACGCTTTTTTGAGTAGCTGTGCTTTAGAAAGGGTCAGGGCCTTTAACCACTTGCCTACAGGGCACTTATACCCCCTTCCTGCCCAGGCCAATTTCCAGCTTTCAGCGCTGTCACACTTTGAATGACAATTGCACGATCATGCAACACTATACCCATATGAAATTTTTATCATTTTTTTGAGACAGATTGAGCTTTCTTTTGGTGGTATTTAAATCACCTCTGGGATTTTTTTTTTTTTTTTACCAAACCAAAAAGCACTGAAAATTTTGAAAAATAAAACGTTTTTTTCTTAGTTTATGTTATACAATTTTGTAAATAAGTGATTTTTCTCCTTCACTGATGTGCGCTAATGAGGCTGCAGTGATGGGCACTGATAGGCTGCACTGATGGACACTGATAGGTGGCACTGATGGGCACTGATGGGCACTGGTAGGTGGCACTGATGGGCATTAGCAGGCATCACTGATGGGCACTGAACGGCAGCACTGATACATGACACTGATATATGGCACTGATAGGCAGCACTGATGGACACTGATAGGTGGCACTGATGGACACTGATGAGGAGGCACTTGTAGGTTGCACTGATGGGCATTGACAGGCATCACTGATGGGCACTGATACATGGCACTGATAGGCGGCACTGACTGGCACTGATGGGTGACATTGAAAGGCAGCTCAGATGGGCACTGATATGTGGCATTGATGTGGCACTGGCATGTGGCACTGATGAGCAGTGACTGCTGGCACTGATGGACACTGACAGGTGGCACTTCTGGGGCCACACTGATCATCAGGGCACACTGATCATCAGTGCCCTGATGATCAGTGTACATGTCCCCTCTGCGGAAAGCTGATTACCGGCTCTCCTCTCGAGTTGTCAGCGTGACAGCTCGAGAGGAGAGAAATGCCGATAACCGGCTTTTCCGTGTTGGATACAGCTGATCACATGACCGAGCCAACATCTTTGGCTCTTTCCGTGATCTGCCGTGTCCGAGGGACACAGCGCATCGACGATCGCTCCCTGAGCCGCGCATGCTTGGTGAGAATGGAAGGACGTCATATGACGTCCTATCAGAATGAGAGAACCACCTTGCGCCTGTCATTGTACTATATGGCGAGCGGAAGGTGGTTAAACACGAAAAAAGTAGCGTTTTTGCTACAATAGAGTTCAATAGAGATGCTGTTGAAAACGTATGTAGTGCATTTTTTCCACATCGTTATTCTGCCCAGCAACAAAAACATTTCCCCTTCAATTGAAAAGAAAAAAAAAAAAAAAGGAAAAAAAAAAAAAAAAAAAAACAAAACAGAAAAAAAAAACAAAAACAAAAAAAAAAAAACATGAAGTGCAGTAAAAAACGCATGTGTAAAAATTCAAAGTGGAATGCAAAAAGCAATACAAAAACAGATCCAAAGCAAACTGCATAGGCGCAAGCCTAACACTAGGTTCACACCTATGCAGGTTGCGTTTGATGCATTTCTGCATTGTGTTTCATTTTGGCACTTGTGTTTTTGCCACGTTTTGCGTTTTTTTTTTTTTCCCCCCCCATTTCTTTTCTTGTTGCTAGGCAGATTTTAAATACAAAACGCATCAAAAACACAATACATGCTTTTCTGCAGCATTCCCATTGAAGTCTGTAGAACCAAAAATGCAACGTTTTGCGTTCAAAAATGTCCCTTCCCGGGTGAAAACATGGAGATGTGAACCTGTCCCATAGGAAATCATGTTAAATGGACTTTACTGTGTTTCTGCAAAACGCTTCAGAAAATGCTTAGGTGTGAACCTGGGGTTATGGATCATTCTAATCATCTGAATTGTGAAAGCAGGACAGTATGACAGCTGGCCATACACAGATTTTCATTTGAATGGAAAGTCGGAAAAACCGTACATCTAAACATTCTTTTTTTGCCAACATCGCATCAACTAATTTAATCTGAAAGCCCCTCCAATCTCCCCCAGGCCTGATATTTGATTGGATTGACATTTTAGCCTGCATTGACCTGAGCAAAGCATATTCCTAGGGATTTTGAAGTGTTTTCAGGTGTTTTACAAGCCTGGTGCGCTTTGCACATGTATGAAGCTTCAGGCCTTTGCTTTCTGTGCTGGCCCAAGGGAGGAGAGCAGTTCTACAGGAGGAAGGAATTTTTCAGCTGCACAATTGCATACGTTGTGCGTTTCAAACACACCAATTGAAATCTATGGGGGCAAAAATGCCTGGAAAAAAAAAAAGTGTACTTTTTGAGTGCAGAAGGACTGAAGAGCACAAGTGTAAACAGGGACAATTAGAAAGAATTGGATTCTGCATGTTGAGAGTAGTCAGGTGTAGGGAAATGAGCTGCAAACACTGAAGTGTGAACAGAACCCCTTTATGACTGCCTAACCCATATGTGCGGCGACAAAAGGGTGAGCCTAAGGCTCCATTCACATTGGTATGACTCCAAAGTCGCACAGCTTTGATGCGCCTTTACACTCTCTGGCACTCAAATTGCATGAAAGTTGCATCAAAGTAGCGTGGAGGCCTTTTTTTATGTTGCATAGATTGACTGGCTAACACATGTGCAGCGACACAAGGGTGAGCCTAAGGCTACATTCACACTAGTATGACTCCAAAGTCGCACGGCTTTGATGCGCTTTTACACTTTCTGGCACTCAAATTGCATGAAAGTTGCATCAAAGTAGCGTGGAGACCTTTTATGCTGCATAGATTGACTGGCTAACACATGTGCAGCGACAAAAGGGTGAGCCTAAGGCTCCATTCACACTAGTATGACTCCAAAGTCGCACAGCTTTGATGCGCCTTTACACTTTCTGGCACTCAAATTGCAAAAAAGTAGCGTGGAGACCTTTTCTAGGTTGCATAGATTGGAACAGGTACCATTGAAATCAATGGGCTGCAGCTTGTATTGCGACTTCATGTGTTCAAAGTCACATGCCAAGTCATACTAGTGTGAAAAGGGCCATAACACCCACACGCTACACATATGTTGTTGGGGCAGCTGGTTTCATGTGATCGCTGATCTTTTCTGACCCCTGACATATGGAACCTGGAGTGACCAGGAGGAGGTTAAACAGATTTCATCACAATGGGTATACATTTTCCTCAAACACAAACCACATTCATTGTCAGAATTTAATTAATTTGAGAAGATTTCTAGGACTGGGTATAGGAGTATACCTTTTTTTTATGGTTGTACTGGATGGACTTTTGTCTTTTTTCAGCCAGACTAACTATGTAACTATCCTGCCCTTAGGATTTTTTCGCTACTGCGGTTGAAAACAAGCATCCATTTGACACATGTTGACCCAAATTCCAGCTGGGGTGACTTTGACTTCTTCTATACTTTATGTGCCTTCCCTAAAATAATCAATGGAACCAACAAGTGCTGAGATCTGGCAGTGCTGGCTGACCGATCAGATCCAATCCCTCCACTGCCAAGGGTCAAATGGGCTGCTGACTTTTATCACAGTTTTATTAGATTACCATTTTCTAGTTCTGATTGCCAAATAAAATCCAGAAACAGTGATCCCCATCTCCACTGTCGGGCAGACCTCCTCATCTCCCTGCCGGAGCTCCTTTCTGTGCTGCACACCCCAGGTGTCCGACCTTCCAGGGATGGTGGTGTGATGGGATCCGACATCCTCCATGCAGATCACACCTTCTCCAGCCTCCACTCCGCCCAGCCCCACTTACCTCCATACAGCCACAGTTCCTCCTCCAGGCTCTCAGTGGCCATGGGCACTGCGGGGTCCGGGGACACAGGAAGGGTGGGGGCCCCTCCGGCGCTGTTTGTCGGCTCTTCCATGGCCAGGTGTGCAGGACGAAGTCAGGCTGGAGACACAGAGCTGAGCTCCAGGTGCTGCCATCTCCAGGGGCCCCTCCACCTGGATCATCCCGGTCCTAATGCCGCCGGGTAGTGATCAGGTGGGATCCCGGCTATACAGGTCCATCCTCCTCCCTTCTACATCCGACACCCCTAATTAAAAGGGGGACAGAAGGACAATTCACAGAGAGTGGCTGACATCAGAGGGCTAGAGTCAGTTTATGACCTTCTCATTGGACTTAGATTGTGCTGGTATAATGTCCAATATTATTATTATACAGGATTTATGTATCACCAACAGCACTTTATGCACAGCACTGTAATGTGTGAGCAGTCCCTGGATTCCAGCCATGTGCTAGACAGGGTGCAGTGCCAGCTCAGCTCCAGGTATGGATTTTATTGTGGAGGTATAATGGTAGTAAATGGGATGGGGGGGGAGATGCACCGAGCCACAAAGAGTGCTGCAAATTTTACTGAAGGAAAAAGGGTATACAATCAAGGCCGGGGATAGACTATCTTGCGCCCTGGGGAAGACCGACTACTTGCACCCCTCCCCCCCCCCCCCCCCCAAAAAAAAAAAAAAAATTAAATCAACAAAATTTGAAACTGCTAAATTTCCTTTCATTTGCAGAAATAAGTGCCATAAGATGCCGCCAGCACCAATATTAATGACAAAATCAGTGTCACGGATGGACTGTATCTGTGGCTGGCAGTGGCTGGGTGACAGTTGCAGTGAGTGGAGGAGGAAGGATCCACACTCTGACAGATCTCAGGCTGGAATTCCCCAGACAATGGGGGGAGGTAAAACACTATGACAGAGGGCAGCCTAGCCCACACATAAGCACACAGAGAACACTTGAACTGAGCGATCCCACACAGTGACAGACCAACATTGACACAGATCAGCAGGCACTAAAAGAGTAGGCTGTGGGATCATCATGATGTCCTCACTCACTGACATTGCACATGTGATGGATGTCTGGCCAGCAGGGTCACATTCACACAGTAAAAAGCACTAACATAGCACACAGTTTTATCACCCCACATGTTAACCCCTTCCTGCCCAGGGCCATTAGTATTATTTTATTATATATATATTTATAAATATAATTATAGTATAAATATTAGTATTTATTTATTTCAGGTACTTATATAGTGCCATCAATTTACACAGCGCTCTACATATATATTGTACATGCACATCAGTCCCTAACCCTCAATGGGGTGTACAATCTAAAGTCCTTAACTTATTTCATACATACACATACTAGGGCCAAATTAGACAGGATCCAGTTAACCTACCAGCATGTCTTTTGGAGTGTGGGAAGAAACCAGAGTACCATGCAGGCACAGGGAGAACATGCAAGCTCTATGCAGGTGGTGCCATAACCAGGATTCGAACCAACAACCCTAGTACTGCCAGGCGGAAGTACAGTGTCAGTGCTTTTTAGTGTCAAAATCAGAAAAAATGGGTATGACAGTTTGCTGTGTAGCCACAAACCAGTCAGGGTGTCCTGTATCCACAAACCAGTCAGGCGATCCGTATCCACAGACAAAAGAACTTACAATGGGTATGTGAGGATCAGAACTGGACCACGGACCCACGGGTGTCCTTGGCGATCCGTATCCACAGCCAAAAGAACCTACAATGGGTACGTGAGGATCAGAACTGGACCACGGAGCCATGGAAGAACATAGTTTGCTCTGAGGAATCACGTTTTTTTTTTTTTACTTCATGTGGATGGCTGGGTGTGTGTGCGTCACTTACCTGGGGAATTAATGACACCAGGATGCCATATGGGAAAAAGGCAAGATGGCAGAGTAATGCTTTGGGCAATGTTCTGCTTGGAAACCTTGTGTCCTGCCATTCATGTGGATGCTAATTAACACATATCATCTACCTAACCATTGTTGGTGACTAGGTACACCCCTTCATGGAAATGTTCTTCCCTGAGTGGCCTCTTTCAGCAGGATAATACACCCTGCTGCACTGC